TTTTTCATTTCCATAGACAATTCCAAGTCTAACATTCGTTTCCGGGAGAATACTTAATTTTATTACGAAAAAATATTATTGCAAACGTGAAATAGGTCAGCTGGAAGAAATGTAAACCTATAGGGACAAAGTAATATATAGGTTAGACTGATTTAGGATTTTAGATCCGGGTAGAACTTGACAATGACCTTGAGTGTACATAATACTTAATATATACTTTTAATGATCGTATGTACAACATCGAAGGACGTTCTCAAGGCCATATGACGTCACTATTGATTAGCGCTATCTATACACATAATACTAGACTCACGTGTATAGATCATCCGCTAATGACGAGGAAGTCGCTTCCACGAGCACTGAACAGCTCATTACTGATTTTTTGATTACGACACAATCAATTTATACTCGCATTCTACCAGCCCTGATGCTGTGTGTATGGAGCAAGATCTATCATGTCTATACACAGAATAAAACAATATATCAACGTTTACACCGGGTTTTCCTGATGAAAATCAGAATTATGGGCCTAGGGCGGGCATCGCGATGTATCTTTGTAGCGTTAAATACAACCTTGTCCAATCTAAACGACGTATATTTACATAAAAATTCGTTATCATTTGCTATATGAAAAAATGTCTAAAATCGTTCTCAGTATTATATAACAATTTAATATAATAATCATATCACACGAAATAAACTATATGGTTTGGTTAACCATATATTTGATAGGTGATATTTATAAAAAACTAAACAGCCGCCCTTACAAAGTCACAGCATGTACTTCATAGGTTAGGCCGCATGCGCGTGTTTAACCTTGAAAATATTTCCCGGTTCAGGGACAAAAACTCTGTCACCTGTCTTCTAGGTCAATGTGTTTGGAGTACCAAGTACCTATAGAGGCTATGGAACTCCTAAACTATGGAATTACAGCATTTATCACTCAAAGAACACTGATACGTAATTAAAACTTAAATATATCTGGCATTGAAACGTATTTATTTTAATTAACATAGATTTTAAACAGAAAACGCTAAAGAAAATAGCGTTTTATTTGTGTAATGTACTAAATGATTTAATTTAATTAAAATATAAGGATTGTTTTAGTACTTCAATATAAGCACATATATAATAAAAATTAAGCGTTTGATTAACAATATTATCTTTATACACAGACTAGACATTAAAATTTTCCTCACTATAATATTTTTTTTATTCCATTAATAATTCACTTATATACATCTAATTTCTTATATCGCTGTCAACAATATCAATTATGTTTAAAAATTTTATGACATTCTATTAAAAATTATCTCAAAATTCTACCAACACGCCTCATGATATCAGATAGGTAATGACGAGGAAGTAACATTCTATTCTCCGCAGTCTCATTTCCCCACATACCTCTATCGCTAATAGCGTAAATACTTCTCTATATAAAATCCTATATATTTATTACCTATACTATATTTAATATATAACAAATACAGAAAAAAACATGATTTGAATGAAACTAATATTTTCGGATTTACTACGCGTTTTTTTGTCTATAAACTACATACTCCCGACGTTTCGGCTACTTTACAGCAAATGATCACGGGCAGACGAGAAAAACCAAAATAAATCCGAAAAAATTAGGCGAAAATCTTAGATCTCATTATCATTATTTGAAGATAAACATATGTTTGTAAGATCTATTTGATTGGTCTAAACAAATCACAAAATATATCCAAACTATTATTATTATTATTATCGTAAATTCAATAATTATTGATTAAAAGCAATCTATAGCGCCTCATATATGACCTATTTTAATTACGACAACAAGCAAATGACTTAACTTAAGCTATTTATTTCGGATGCAAGCAGAATAGTTGGTTATTTTTACCCACAAACTTTCCCATTAGGTGTTAAAGCCTAAGCCAGTTTGGTACAACAATTAGTGATTCAGCAACTCAATTAGGCAAACAGCTTTAGTTTTCAGTTTGACAGACTGATTCACGGGGACGTATTTAAAAGTTGAGACTAAAAACAAAGATAGTTTGAAATATACTTAATTAAAAATGTACTAACATTCCTCGGATATTTGTGTTTTTATAATTAATTACTTTATGTATGTAGCTATTCAAAACACGCCTAGCTATCTATTAAATCTTTTATTAAATAAAGTTCGATGGAAAATAAGAAAGCATTTTTTTTATTCAAGTTCATTATGGACGTCATTCAATTTTTTTGTAAGTTTATCCTATTTCCTATGTAATCCACTTTTTTAGATTCATTGCTTAAGCATTCGTTTGGTCATGATAACGGATGCTCATTATTTTTTTTTATAAATCGGATAAGAGAAGTGTGATTGACTTTAGGTTGGAGTATATTAAATGTCATTTGACATTTGACATCTAAGAACTTCTTTCTAATTTGTTTCCTTACGAAGCTTAAGTTAACATATACAGTATACAGAGCGGTAACAGTTTTTCAATTATAAATAGTCGTATTAGAAATAACTTTAATGTATATTATTAAATGCGAAACAGTATATAGTAGTATGCAGTAGTAGTATTTAGTGTGATAAATAAAAATCATGCACGGCATAATAATCTGTATTACCTACATGCGAGAAACCATAATGCCGAAATATAATTTTTATCCAGAAAATGAAAAAGTATACTTGCCAGTCTTTACAAAAATATTATAAGGTCTAATATCTTTTTAAAAAGTAACTTGTATTAAAATATTATTGGTTTAGTTAAACATCTTTATAAAATTATCACTATTTAAAATCAATATAATATATATACGTACGTCATATTAAGTAAAAAATAATTTGAAATCTTATTAACATTTCTTACGAATTTGTTTATAAATAAATAATTGGAAACCATATTTGTGAATTTACTGTTATCAAGATATTTGTTAAGAAAAGCAAATAAAAAAAGGATTTTCACGATCATTCTAAATAAAATTGTGCACTAATTTCGTATTCTTCGTATATAGACCAAGGTTAATACCTTTAAAAATAATAAAAAGTGAAAACAAATAGTAGAAAGAAACCTATTAGAAAAGGAGGGGAATATTATAAAAATTAAAGGAAAAATAATTTGTTGGCGACCTGAGGTCGGGTGGCCTAGTGGTTAAAGGGCCCACCTCTCGTGCAAGAGGGCGCGGGTTCGATCCTGGCAAGTACCAATGTGATTTTTCCGAGTCATATGTACTTTCTAAGAGTATCTAGACACCACTGACAGATGAAGTAAAACATCGTGAGGAAACCTGGACTTATAATTTCACAATATTATAAGTTTGAAATCACCAACTCATCTTGAGCAAGCGTGATGATTAATGCTCAAACCTTCTCCATGTGAGAAGAGGCCTTTGCTCAGCAGTGGGCTCTGATAGGCTGATGATGAATGAATGAGGTTGGGAAGGGCATGGGGCTGAGTATTTAAGAGTAAAAAACGGTTTTTCTCCATTACTGATAAATCTAAAAGGAAAAGAAGTCATAAAACATAACCCTTATCTTATTATTTTAAACTTTTATAAACATTCTAACTTTACAACCTGCACACTGATTATGTTTGGATTGTCTATGGATTTGAAAATCAAACGATAAACTTTCATTGTTGACTTATAATACATTTATGAAGATCGTCCATGAATTAAAAACAATGACATTGGCAAAGTATTGCACGATTCCAGTGTGAATGAAGCCATAGATTAAAAAAAAGAAGATTGTTCATAAAAATAAAAACAACATTCATATATTTACTTCTGAAAGCCATCATTGCTTGTATCATTGTACTCACAGGAAATAGTATTGGCTAGAAAAAAAGCTGGTCAGATATAAGAATTCGATCAGGTTGGATAAAAATATTATAATTGAAAGTTAATTATTTGTTGTCACTATTTCCGAACGTCAATTATGATGACTTTTTTAATTTTTCAAATTAATTCTCAAGCCTTATTGATGCTCATATAAACGAATGGATAAATCAGCAGTAATTAACAATAACAGGAATCCATTTTTCATAATATCTAACGTATTCAAATGTTCGGTAAATACTAAAAAAAATTAACGTGTATAACAGTTTTTAAACATACTAACCAAATGGATTCTAAAGAATAGTAATAATAAACATTATTATTATAAGAAATTGCTATTTATTAACTTATAATTACTTTATTTAAAATCTGTCAAACACTACAAACTTTACAATATTTTTGACAGTCACATGTTATATTTCTTGCTAACCTTTTGCCAAAATATCTTGTTTAAACGATAAACTAGTTTTTCACGATATAAATACTTATATTGAATTGTTTCAAAATGACAACTCTTACAATTCAGAACAAATTACTCTTGCACTGTTTAATAAGTATTTCAGGCTTAGCAGGCTTCTTTATTCCATATTTACAAAAATATTTCATGTACGTTTAAGATTATTATCGTTATTTTTGAGAACCCTTAAAATTAAAATAAGTAATATTTTAAAGACTTACATTGAGTACGGATAGCCTTATAAAACAATTATCAAATATCACACGACTATGTACTTTTTAAGTTCCCTATTTTTTATTTCTACCGACAAATAAAAAAGTTATCTACAGTTATAATATAATAAGGTATATTTTTGGCAGATTTATTAAACTTAAAATATCGTTTAACCAACATTAGAAGATACAAAAATAAAAAATCAATGAAATTTTTAACTTAAACAAATAATTAATAATATAAATATGTTTAGAAATATATTAATTTGAATAATTTTAATCTATGAATATAGCTTCTGGACGGAACATCACGTTCCTATTTAATCTGTGCCATTATTTCAAAATTGACAAGTGACGAACATTGTTTTTTTTTTAATTTTTTCGATTCTCAGAAATGTTTAATAAAATGTCACGCGATACCTGTTAGTTTTTATTCATACTCTGCTTATTATGGAGTATAGAGGGTAGTACCCTCAGTTTTATTTTTTATAAGTATAACATTATAGACTTATCCAATGCAAGTACATCTCGACAATTTATCTGATTTCGAGGAATTCGAGCACGATACCAGTGTAGATTCAAAAGTCGATATGATGTCCTCAAAAATCATGGAAACTCGATACTACGAGGGATGTGGACGCGAGGGTCCCATCCGGTGCATCTTCTTGGGCGAGTTCCATCCTGTTGCGGGACCTAAGATATCGTGCCAGGTATAACTAATTTTATTATTTTTACCATCACTTTTTTATCATAAACACAACATCCTGTCCATTGCTTAACCATATCTTTCACCTACCTACATAACTGAACATGTGGCTGAAAAATAATTTAAATGGTACAAAATACCATTTATTTGTAAGACCATAAATATTAATGTAATGACGGTAATTATAATAAAATATTCTAACCATTTAAATCTTTGAATGAAATACATTATTTCTAAACAAGGAAAGAGTAGTTGGAGTATATAAAAGAAGTTATTATACAAATTCATTTAAGAACTTATAGAAGATTATTAATACAGAAATATACATCTAAAATTTCGGTTTTACCACAAATTTAACCTAAATTTTAACTAATAATATTAGTAATATGCCACATTTTTCTAGTTTCCCGAAGACTATGTCTCTAAGGAGCTGTTTGATTCGATAAGTGCTTACATCATTCCAAAACCGCAGATACAGAAATGCACTATGACTATGTAAGTAAGAAAATTAACAATAAACTTTATAATACAATTATAATTTATTTGAATTAATTTTAATGCCACAGCAATGCACTCGGTCACAAAATCATTGGCTATCCAATACGAATAGAAAACTCGAGGTATGAACGAAATATGTACTTGTTCAATCTCTGCTTTGTCTGCGATAGTTGGTCGAAAACAGTTCAATATGAACCAGTTGTGAAGAAACTCGGAGAGCATTTGGTAAGAAAATAATGTATTTTATATATCACTTATTGTTAGACTGACTTTCCCAAAGTGATATATCCTCCTTAAAAGTTAGTAAGAGACCTAGAAAAAAATATTAATAATTTGTAATTTCATTAAGATAGGATAAATTATAGTGGTTATTCATTAGGTGATTAAATGGGGATGCTAAAAAATAATCTATTTTTAATAGGCAATAGAGAAATAGTTTGGGAACCTCTGACTTACATAAATTATTTCATAACTTAGGAAACCAATTTTTGACTAATATACTGTTTAGCATCATAAGTAACTTATTTGTTATTTTTTACATATCTCAAAAAATATCATACTTTCAAGTAAGACTTGTAACAAGAAATAAAGTATTACATATGTGACGATAACACAGAATATGTAATATAAAATTATTCAAGTTAATAGCCATACTATTTGTTAAATTATATTAAATTCTTTATTATTAATGTGTTTTATTTATTTTTGTAACAGACAATCATGGAGGAAGAGACCCGTTTTGTTTCAAGCGGTTCAAGTAAACTGCCGACCCTGCTCGCACACCTACTGCATGATCTGAATACTTATAGGAAAGCAACGCTCGTTGGTGAGATATACTTTGATTTTTACCTTTATCTTGACTAATAATTATGCTGTATAGTTTTCTTTAAGAAAATTACACATATGTTATATAAAATGTATTAAAAGTAGAAGAAATAGGAGAATATTAATTATTATAAGTAATTTTCACTTTATGTCCATGAATAAGGTCTTAATAATATATTGTGAACAATATAATTTAATTTTTACTTATATGCTATGATTATAAGAATCTAGTATAACAATTTTTGTGTAAGTAGAAACTTAAAATCAAACTAATATTTTTCTACTACATACTACATGCTATTTTATTATTTTTAACTACATACTCCCTACGTTTTGGTTACTTTCAGCAAACATAATCACAGGCAGACGAGAATCTGTAATTTAAAAAAATAATAAAATAACACGTAGCAATCCGAAAATACTCGAGAAATTCAGAGATCTCATTATTATCAATGTTTTAGAAAATAATGAAAATCTTATTTCTTTCCCCAAAATCTGTACGCCTGCTTAATAATTAATAATTTTCAGAGGGTGATACCGTAATGCATCTCAAAGTCCTAGAAGTTAGAAAGGACCCAACTCCGGTCCATGATTTCGATGTTCCTGTATTAGTGGCGTCGGTAGGGCTCCCGCGGCCGGGCAGGCCTCCGCGCGTGCCCCCCGGGCCGCAAGAGGAGTCCGAACAGAACCAGGAACATATCGAAGTTGAAGAAGAACCTTTTGAAGTGCATTTAGATGCAGACTGGGATCTCACAACGAGACAGGTATGATAAAATATTCAATATGATTATTAATAAATGTTGTTCCGCTAAATAATTCGTGCATAATGTGTTCTCCTATAAATAATTGTGACACTTAGTTTTAAGATTTATTCACTGAAAATTGTATTTATTTAGTGTACACATTGTTGGAGAACCAAATAAAAAAAATACAGATATATACTGCCATACATTTATTAAGATGGCTACTTAGATAATAATAAATAATATTTGAAAGATTCGTCCAGTCTGAAAACATATAATTATCCATTGGTATATATATAATATATATACTAGTCTTTGCTAGCGACTTCGTCTGCGTTAGTTTTATAATTAGAAATGTATAGCTGACAGAGTCTAATTCTATTCCTCCTTAAAGATAGTAGATAAGACTTTGGATTGGATCAACTTATTTATTATTTTTCAATGGGATGAAAAGTATCTTAGATTCTTTCTATGTTCTAAGCTATTCGTCAACCAATTTTCATCCAAATCCGTACAGCCGTTCTAAAGTTATAAATAATGTAACTAACAACTTTCTTTCGTATAAAGATAAGCCAATAAATTTTAACTATAACCATAGTAGTGAAAATATAAAAAATATCTACTAACTAGCCTAGTGGCTAAAAATCCTTTTTTACAGATAATGGTACAAATTCAATACTTTTATATATACAGGGTGACTGGTGAATTACTATCGATATTTGAGGACGTGATATTTGACGATCATATATGACAAAATAAAAATTAATATAACATAAATATTAATAAACTTCTTAGTAAAGTTAACCAAAAGTTATGTAATTAATTACGCATCGTATGAACACCCTACAGATTAGGTATACACACACACTCACACATACGCGCGCGGAGGCGTGTTGTTGTATCAGCACGCCGCCGCACGCGTCCACACTTGGAACACTTGGAACGTGTACACACTTTATTTATTTATACGGAAATTTGGTCAAAAATTAAGTACCTATTTTTTTTACATAATTCGAATGAGAATCATGTACCGAGTATGCTCCTTAAATATTGATAGTAATTCACCAGTCACCCTGTATAAATATTAATTCAACAGCCTAATTGAAGTTATTTTCTTTATTTCCAGCTTCTTCCTCATATAAATGGTTACAACCACATCTCAAAGATAGCCTCGGACACCAACGTTGAAAAGACACTCGTCAAGTCCTGTATACAAAACTTGGTTTATTATGGAGTGGTCAGTTAATAATATTATAATTTAGGAATTTTAATCGAATTATATATAAAATGTGTATTTTATTGTAAAAAATATATCGTCGGGGATAGTGCAAATCCGCGTAACTATCATTGGATAATTATTATTTAATGTTTAATTTATTACTTATTGTTAAAAAAATACCTTAAATGTCGTTAATATATAAAATATTTCAGCTTAAACTTTCTTCGTATAATCTGCTTCCAATGTAGATATGTGGATTTGCACTATCTCCGATGATATAATATTTGGCAGGTCAATTTTTTTATCCTTACTCTATAACATAGCTGTTTAAATAATTGTTTCTTAAAACTTTATATATACACATACATATATATATGTCAACCCTCTATCTTATGTTCTTATGTCTAACCATGTATCAAAGCATATAATTAATTTTATAGCAACATTAAATTCCACTATCCCTAGTACAAGCATTTATAATTATTTGTACAGACTTTATATTTATCCTTAATATTAAGAATATTTTCCAATAATCTCTCATATGATATGAATTTTTCCAGGTAACTTTGATACCTGTTCTCAAGTTCAGTAACATGTACCGAGCCACACCAAACCTCAGCCGGTTAATGAATGATCAGGATATGCAGCACTCATGTCTTAAATACATCAATAATGACTGTGATTTGAAGGATAAGGTAATTTATTTACACATAAACATATACATCGAAGTCTCCTATGTATAAGGGCCAATGTGCAAAATGTCAATTTTACAGTAGAGCCATTTTAAGATTGATTTCAATGTATTTTGTACATACAACTGATGCTTTTGAAACTTTGCATAGCAACTATGACATACATGTAAGTCATTTAACAAACTAGTTTTTTAAATAATGTATATAAGCCCTTATACATTAAAAAGTGTGTTATTCATACTTTTTTAATGCTATAATAACTAAGTCTTTCTACCAACAAATACATATTTTTTTAAATGGATGTTGTACAATACAGTATTATGAAGTGTTTAAAGTAAAAAAATGAAAATGGCTTAATTGCTACATTGGCCCTTATACATAGGACCTATGAATTATACATTGAATTTACTACTTAAAAAACCGAATAAAATTTACTTACATACATTATATTGTAAAATAAAACGCATATAATGCTTAATAAACTCACACAAATCATCGCACGATACCTTATTTATATATATATTTTTTTTGTATATGAATGTTATTTATAATGTTGCATCACCCGCCCAGCCGTCATTGTCTGACGTGGTGGGTGTTCTGTGTTCATTGCAGCAGGGTACAACGTTGCGTGCCGTCTGTGATCGTCATTTCACATCCCCCGGAGTACCTTTCGATGTTAGACGACTGATAGTATTCGCACAAATACACGGCCTCGTCAAATGTCTTAAGAGGTAAGTACATTTTACCCCCCAAATAATTGGGGTAATTTCTATTTCTGCATGTCATGTCATCTGATAAAAAATATATCATTAAAGTCAGAATAAATAGTTATTATACAGTGTGTTCTTATTTAATTACATTTTCTCAAACAAAATAACCATTCTAACATTTTGTTATAGATATCCAGTTTATATACGGAACCCAACACGCCAGAATGGTTACAGAGTCGACTCTATAATAGGCATACGAAGATTGTTCACTGGGAGGCATAATGTGGACGAAATATGCTGTCTAGCGCGCATTGATCTACCTACCCTCGATCAAATAATAGAAGACGACCCCAACGTAATAATTATATGGAGATAAGCGACAGTTAATATGAAAAACACATAGAAATAACACTAAAGGGGCTATTATATAACCCCCTAAATAACAATTTCTTTGGGGGTAACAGAATTACCCTATCGTAGCAGGTAATACGGAAACCGGTAATAATTTTTCTGTTACGCTTTATCTTTTGTTTTCTAAGATCATCCTAAAATCAATAATAGTTCCTAGAATCATGAATATCAGCTGATCTTTATAAAAGCTGAAATTTGTTATTACATTTTCTTTCAAATGTAATATTTTAAACCGCCTTGAAATAATGTTAAGCTGTCTGTTTTATTTTCAGTTGAATGGAAATCAGTATTCTATATTTTTATTTATATCATTAGAGTTATTTATGAATCAGTTATTTTTAAATTTCAAACTTACTTAAACCGGTGATAAACGTGATATTAAAATATTTACTTATCGATCGTTACTTAATACGCCATTAAATTGGCAGCTTTATTTATTTTTTTATTTATTTATATTACCCCCCAGTTTTTTGTATGGGAAATATAATTTACCCCCAAATCAAAATGAAAAAGAGGAAGAGTTTTAAAAATTATTATTTTAAAAGTATTTAGCATGCCACAATGGTCACCGTATTATACATAAAAATTTTACAATTTTACATATAAATGATTTATTTCTGTGTTGCCATCTCAAAAATGATTAAAACAAAATATTAATTTATCATTACCCTTCCTCTCAAGGGTAATTGTAATTTCTATATATACCTACACATTTTTAGAATCACCTTGTTGTTCTACATTTCTGAATCAATGTATTATCTTAAAATTTACTTAATATCCACTGTCATTAGAGGCATTTAGTTTAATCTTTTAACTGAATTTTAAATTCATTATTATTTAATAAATGTATTAAATCTTACTATCAGAGGATCTTACTCACTGCCTGTTCATAGTATAAATGTATCAAATATGAGTACAAGATGTGTGCCTTACAAACACTGATTACCCCGGGCAGGGTAATGGGGTAAACTGTGTTTGTTTTACACTTTATACACGGGGAATGAATGTTTTTTGTAAATTTAATATTTAATATAGCAGTCTTTTAATAGTTACATGTTACAGTATTAATAAGTTTTGATTTTGTTTGTATTTGAAGATATATTCCGCTGAAATGTACTTAGCTGTTTACCTAAGTATTTAATGTTAGTATTAAAAGGTTATGGTGATGATAATATAGTATTTATTATAGATTTAAATATTTTTATAATAATATTAGATTATCTAAGCTTTTTATAAGCGAATGTGGATTGTATCTCGAAAACGTCAGTCTGTTTAGATTAAAATGTTAAATTGTGAATCATGCTTCAGAACGTGGTTTGATTGTGTCTTGCTAGTATTTTTAATAAACTCTCAGTTTTGTCTTTAAATTTCTTCCATGAATAAAATGAACAGTTTAAATCTATTGCTTTGTTTTTATTTTTAATTTTAAATCCAGTTAGTCCCAAATAAGGTTTTACTGAATACAACAGCCTTTCCCAAAGTGACGATAAACTCCCTTTTGGTAATTACAGGCCTAAATAGGGGTGGTAAGAGATCCACAAAAAACAAGGGCATTGTATAGAGGCCTGGGATTTGTAATATCATTTAGCTTGGATAAGTTACATTGATTTTTTCTGTAGATGATAAAATAGTGGCGCTAAAATATAATTTATTCTCAAAGTGAACATCAAGCAAAATAAGTTTGGCAACCCTTGGTCTTCATAAACATCGAAGGTGCATAAAATTCTTATGCTTAAATTATACGATACAAGAAATTCAATTTTATACAAATCCGTCACTAAATGTAAATAATTTTAACATAATGGTGTGATGGAAATAAATTTTTTAACACGTACAATAAAATTACAAAACTATTTTAAGATTTTATTCAGATTTCAGTTGACAATTAAATTATTTTTTATCACAGTACTTTACAATGTCGAAGTGCGTTTTAATAATTATTTAAAAAAGATAGTACTACAATCGATTTTATAAATCGTTAGTCAAATAATGTTTTTTTTATTAAGTTATGCTTTTTTTCTCTAATCGAATATAGCTAGCTAATAATGTTTTTTAATTAAATTATGTTATTTTTCTCTAATCGAATATTGGCTGTATAATGTTATGCCATCGTCATTATAATAAAAAAATGACGGTGTCACATGCTGTCATAATTTTGGCACTTCTAAGAATAATACTATATTTTAAAATTTAAGTCAAACAGTGTTTCTTAACAGTCTGGTAATATAAAACTAGCTAATACAAACTATTGGACTCCTTAAAGCTTATTCTCTTAAACGCAACTTTTCAGAATATTAAATGACATTTGAACATTCACATTTATTTCATTTGGTTAATGGTAACGTGGTTTCAAACGGTTTTATACATCGTATTTTAAATTCAAATTGGAATAACTATATATATACTAATAAATTATACTTATGTAAATAAAAATGTGTATTTTTTCCTGTATATAAGATTATTCTTAACACGTACACAAATCTAGTCGTACTTAGTCGTGAAAACACAATTGTAAATAAAATAACAACTTAACAATACGGTTAAGTTTTTAAGCTTGGTTTTAATATTCCATTCACCCGTACATATATAACATTTTCACCCTGCTTCGCTTCACAAAAGAGACAAACCTATTCTTGCTCATTTGTCGGTACATTCATTAATACCCTTATATTAATATTCTAAAACGCTTGTACAATAGATGCTATACTTTGATATGTTCCTGTTACAAATATGAACAAACCCAAAGATATGATCAAGAGATTCTTCACTGTAATGAAAATTGTTAGGCCGTTGTTGTTTTGATAGTGTGAGACTAGTTGTATGATCGGTGGGAACATGAGGGCTAGTGTAGTGCTGCTAATGGCTCCGACCAGGGATATGAAGAGTCCCAGCTGTGGGATCGATTCCGCCAGAACGACTGAAAATAATGTCTTAGTTAACAAAACAAAAATACTATATATACTTGCTTTTTGGTTGTTTTTTATAGCAAGATAGATGATAGCAAGTAAATTGCCTAAAAGACAATAATATATTAGAGCAGATTTAGCGATTATGCCCCTTTGTGGCCGCTGCAAACCTAAAGGTGGTGGTAAGAGACCCGTAAAAAGTGGGCACACTAAATTAGTCCATCATAATAGGATTTTTCAGTGGGTAAAAATTGAGAGCGCTAGAAAATTATTCATTCTCAAGTAGTCGTAAGCAAAATAAGTTTGGTCCTCAAACCATACTCACAGGTAAGTAAAACTAGCAGAACTCTGAATCCCAGTTCTTTAGCCACGGGGGAGGATTTCGCGTATTTCTTTCTAAGAGGCGGCCACATTATAGCCACCGGTACGTACATCTGGAGAGGATACGTCAAAAGCATGGCCAGAGTTATTAACACCTGGACCGTAGTGCTTAAACTGAAATAAAAGAATTAATAAGTAACATGGACTTTTGATTTTGTTCATATTCTATATTCATGGGGATAGTGCAAATCCGCGTAACTGATAGAAGCAGATTGATAGAAAAAGATTTAATGTGAAATATTTTCTAAATTCACGACTTTTAGGCAATTTTTTCACAGCGATTCACAAATTAAAGGCTAAAAAATTATTCAATGTACAAAAAAAAACTTTAATAATTTAGTTTTTAACTCTCCCAGTTCCGTATTATCCAATACTACTTAATCGTATTTGCACTATTCCCATGACATGTGTATTTTTATCTTACACATTCGCGGGGTTCAGATTGAGGGTAACACTGCCAGCGACCTCGTCACCCCACTTGAGGTACCCAAAGAATCCCACAGTCACGAATATACCAGCGACAATCACCATGCCCAAGTTCAAAACGCCCAAAGGCTTTTGGAAGAGTTCCGGTTTCTTCATCTCGTTTTTCAAAGGCAGCACCTTTATTTATAGGATTTTTATTATACGAACAGTTTATCGAGTATGTATTTCTAACGATGTATAAGTATTTACCAATCCGATGCCTTCGAAAGCGTAAATAGCTGTACCAAAGTACAAAGGTAATTGGCTCCAATGTGCTAAGTAATCTCTGGTCTCCACCGGTGGTAGATCCTGTACAGCTTCATACAGAACAGCCCCAACTCCTAGCGCCATCATCACGTTAGCCAGCGTCGAGAATGGAGTCAAATATTTGAGGTTTCTCACCATACAGATGAGTAATATCGGTATTATGACGAATATCATGTGTATTGTTAAATCTATGTGTAAGCCACGCTGGTCGCATATCTGAAAAAAGCCATATATTGCATTGATATTTATGTAAATTTCTCAATATTCTTTAGTATAAATAACGTAATTCTTACCATTTTAACGTTATTCGCGATGAAAACTATGTATACACAGCAGAAACCGAGTTGTGTGATGCATAGAAATGTGTTCACGAGTATTTTCATAGTTGGTGCGAGCGGCCTCAATCTCACTGGTCCATACTCGAACACCAAAGACACTGTGTCCGCGAAACCCGGAGGCTTGTCCCTTTTAGTTTTCCGATACATCTCTTCTGAACAATTCAGCTGATAACGAAAATACCGTTTTTAAGCTTTAAAGGCAGACCCTGGCTATAACTGGGACATTGCCAGGTAGAAGAAAGAAGATACCGTTTTTATAGCTATTTTAATAACACTACAGCGATGAACTCGTAAATTTATTTGAAATTTCTCATGATGAAATAATCCAAGAAGACGAAGTTTAATTTAGTTGAGAATATAGCATGCAAAAATTTTACAAAGCTGTCTGTACATAGGATGTCATAACATTGATATATCTACAAAAAAATAGCCTTTTATTCTCCACCAAAAAAAATTATCTGTGACGGTTTTGCACTGTCAATGGAAACAAACACACATACGTCAATCTTTTTCTAAGTTGATTTAGGAGTAACTATGTAGTGCTTTCTAAAAATACGTAAAAATTCAACATTTCTATTAATATCTCCATTAAAATTACCAGTAAGTGTTGAGCGTGGACGCATATAACACCGAGTATAGCTGTCATGATGGGTGAGAAAATAATTCCACCGTTCTTAAAAGCGTCGCCCATAGCTAGCAAGCCGGAACCAATGTTACCTCTGAATAGATGCAACATCGTGTCCATATAACTGAAATATTACAAATATAATTATTTTAATATTATAGATACACAAATAAAATAATATTAAAACTATGAATAATGAGGTCTAAGATTTTCGCGAGTACTCATTTAAATTAAACTAATATTTTCGGATTTACTACGCAGTTTTTTATTTTGACTATAAACTACATACTAACGAGATTAATTATTGACATTTGATCAAGCAATCGATTTGATTCCAATATTTAATTGCAACATACATAATATTCTTTTAAATTATTAATATAATACTAATAATGTATAAATAATATTCTTTTAAATTAAACTAATTTTATTCGGATTATATTCCATCACGTTTACTGAAAAGTAACTGAAACGTCGGAAGTTTTAAGTTAAAATAATAATAAAATACGCGTAGTATAATAAAATATTAGTTTCATTTAAAGGAATACTCGCGACTTAAATTAATCACATTATAAATTCTTTAACAAGTTACAAGTTAGACACCATTTGAGCAGAATTCTTATTTAGTTTAAAGAAACTATTAGCTGATAGCGTGGTCCCTTCGTCTATACTCTATACTCATGATTTTTTGGTCCCTTCGTCTATACTTACGATGTAGGATGTGTGACGTGGGGATGTTCAGGGTTAGGCTCATCTTCGCTTCTTACTTTACTGTCCAAGTTGATAATTTGCTCACGAGATTGGTACTCCCCGTAACTGTCGGTCGTTGTACTGAAAAAGGTTTTATGTACTATCAAAAAAAGATTATTTGTTATGGTTTAACCCAGTAAAAAACTTTTTTATGCTGTACTAATCTTAAATCTAAATGTGACAAATTATTGACAAGGGCCAGCGCCATTTTTTCTCTTAAACTGGTTGATTAAAATGTTTAAGTGATTAAAATTACATATATGTAATTACAAAGTTTGTCAATAGATGGCGTTAGCTGTCCTTTAGATCACGCTATTAAAGTATCTGTTTATCCTTAAGTTAGCATAATATTTTGAGTTTCAATAGGGTTGGAGTTTGAGTTTAAAATCGAGTTTAATAATCGAGTGACTAATATACGTGTGAAATCTACGAGTCTTTCATTTCAGACACTGGTTATTTCGTTATAGTAATTGAGAAGTAGGTAATATCTTTACAGCTGAACTTAGCACAAGCTGTGAACTACAAACGAAACTTTTTCCGTTCGAAAATACTTTTAACTATCCGTCCGTAGTAAAGTACCGAGCTCGTACTAAGAGTATTAAATACAGGTTATATTTAATCATGAGTCAATTAACTTTGAATACTAATTACTATGATTAAGACGTTTGAAGGCATTAGGTTAAACTTTGCATTTTATATCGATAAAAAAACATTATTATAATTGATGGAAACCATTAGAATATCTACTTTAAATGATGAATAAATAAAAAATATTTGAAGCACTTCATATTATAAGTAAATATAATTATATAGTTTTATAGTATATTTGATATAACAATCAAATTTATAATATTATTTAATCTGCATTGTTATGTAATCGCATCGCGTCGCCTTAATGACTATCTAGGTAATGGGGTCACAGTATTTATAAAAATATATATAAAAATAACATTTTTATTAAAATAAAACTTAAAAAATCACTTTAATACATAAATATTGAGTAAATAAAACTTTACTACTTAACAAATACGTACTTAAATATCAAAAAAGCGATTCTTAAACATAAAATCGCTTACAATTAAACAGACTAAAATATTCATATAAACAATTATATAAATATTACTTTTATAACATTTACTTAATCGATTTCATAACACTTATTTCAGAACAGATTATATAATGGTCTTAAAAACTGATTTATTTGTCGGTTGACTTTTCTGGGTCGATTGAAGTAACCTGATACTAGGTTGCCGAAACCTGAGGCAGCGGAAGCAACGTTGTAACCACCATTGAATGGATATTGGTGCTGAGCGAATGGATTGGGTTGGAATCCTTGGTTGTATCCGTAATTAACGGGTCGATTGAATCCGCCGTACTGGCCGTATCCCACTTGACCGTGGCCGCCGTGGCCATGTCCCCCATGACCATGTCCGCCGTGGCCATGCCCACCGTGGCCGTGGCCATGTCCTTGATGCTGCGGCACCACAGGACCTCCGCAACCAAAGAAAAAGTTATTCACTGGAGCTGATATATAAGTTTGTTCTGGATGTCCAAAAGTCCGCCCGTAACCTCCATAGCACGGATTATTTTGATGTTTTTTCTTTTTGCGATGTTTTCGGCCGAGTTCATCGTAGTCTTCACCATCGTCAGCAAGATCACGGGTCTCGGAAACTTCTTGCGAGTAAACCAGGGATAACGAACATAGTAGAAGAATAATCACCACTGAAAGGTTCTGAAAAAATAATGTTAATTACTGAAATACCTGAAAGTAGATATATGCCCAAACGAACTGATTTCTATGATAAAATTAGACTAAATATAACAATACTCACCATTTTTGGTAGCGTTTGTATACAAATCAGCTGTTCCCAGTTTGAGTCGCTTACAGACTGAGGCTACATCGTTTCGGGGATACCTACTGATGTTGAAAGTGAAAGTTTACGGAGAACATTATCGCAATCAAAACGGAATAACCGCTCCACGGTGTGGGGATTATTAGGCAATGCTATATCAGATGGGTTAAACCGTACTTTTGAAACATAAAGGAACTAACAGAAGTTTGTCACGGACGTTCATAGATGGTTTATATTGATAGACAAAATGACTGTCTTTAATTAACGCTTTGGTAGGAAAAAAATCTTAAAGAAGGATTTTAAAACGTTCAAAATTATTAATACATTTGAGGCAACGACAAAAAATATATCACTAATGATCTTTTGAGTTAAGTGACTGTTTTTTTGATGAAAGCAAAACACGAACATGTTTTGTCGATAATCTAACTCTGTCAAAAATCGTTTTTATTACGAACAAAAAGTAGAAAAATTTAGTTTCTCTTAAAAATTTCTATTGCTGACAGCATAAAAGTTCATATAGATAAAGTCTTTATAATATGTATACTTTAAGACATAATTTGAATGGAGTTTCGTTATTAACAACTTGTATAATAAATTAACTTAAGTGTTAAGCGTAAACTTTTTAACTACCATTATTATTAACTAATAATATTTCAATATAATTAGGTGGTAGAGCCTATCTGTAGTCCGTTACTACAGCTCGAACATGGGCTGGCTCGACCGGGGAAGTACCACCCTCTCACAGAAGATCGGCGTGAAGTAGCCTCTAATGGCTGCGTTTCGTCCGATGAGTGAGAGAGCCGGTTGCCCTTTCCCTATTCCCATCCTTTCCTACCATTTCCTTATTCCCGCCCCTCCCTATCCCTACAAAACAAGGTTGGCAATGCATCCGCAACATATATGTTGCGGATGTCCATGGGTGACGGTAACCACCTTCCATCAAGTGGGCCGTCTGCTCGTTTGCCAGCTTTCACATAAAAAAAATAATAATAATTTAAACATAACTCTTACATAAGTGGCCAAGAACACATAGTGTTTGTACTCACAGTCAATTTTAAATGAAGGATATAATTAAATCCTTTTTTCCTATTGATACATAATGAAATTTAAGAATTTCGCGAGTGTATTATTTTCTGACATCATAATATCAACGTAGGTTGTGGAATAGAAAACGAGAAACTATCTTATATATTTAGTCAAAAGTGTGGGTGAAATAGGACCTGTTAAAACTCCTAATACCGAATTTAGAATTGTATAGTTTGGTTAAAAGAATATTTGTTTTAATTTAACGGACGTACTTCTTCAGTTAATAAATTAGTTCTTATAAAATCATTAGCACCAAAGATTTTGACTTATCAATGAAATATAAGAAAGTACCTTCAAATGATTAAAGATTTCGAGATATGAATTATTTTCATTTTTAACAAATAGTTATTCCTGAAAACAGATTTCTGTTTAAAACATATATATTTTTAACCTATTTACGATATATAAATAATATATAATATATACGATATATAAATAATAAATATAGTTTATAATACATAATTCAAAACAAAAGAAAATCAACAAACTAAGATTTATTTAAAGGTATTAAATTATTTTCGTTTCCGTAAGTGTTGAAACATACATATTGATACTTTTCACTTAATAAAACCTACAATTTAATTAGCAATGAAGTAGTAAATAGTAATACATCTCAATTTACTATTTCCCTATCAACAACTGAATATATTAATATTTTAATTTAATATTGTATTCATTTGAATTTATTATTTCCATAATTGAAGTCATCATGAAAAACAATGGTGTAATTATGAGAATTTTATTATTATTTCTTGGAACAAACGTAATTAGTACTGGTAGATCCTTTTTAGGGTTGTCATGATCAATTTTAAAAGACATGTTCATAAATAGAGAAAATCTAGGAAATTTTGGACCATTATCATGGATTTATCTTAAAAATTAAGCAATATTATTATTTAAACACAATTATATGTATAGGTTTTCTTATGATTATAGATGGCACTTCTTTTGGCGTTTATTTCTTGTTCGGCCAAATAAAACCATGTGTGGAGGATTTATTCGTCATCATTTGACATATTTGCACAAATAACACACATACATCATAAACGAAAACGTATAGACGAGTTGTTAACATGCCAAGTGTGGATGTAATGTTTGCGCTATTTGGACTACGTACAAATATTTGGACAAATGCGGCGAATACGCTAACGGCGAATAAGTAAGTAAGAGTATAAATAATATTGTTAAAATGTACAAGTCCTTGTATTTAAAATCTAATCTCTAAAACTCGTCCCACGGAACTTGCAGATAACTGACAGTACAAGGGAAAACAATTTACTTTTATCAAACTCTTACTCTAATCTAATAATACATACATGGCATTTTCCTAATATATGATGAAAACTATATAAAAATTCATAGCTATAATACGGAATTTTAATTATGAAATACAGCTATTTTAAAATGTAAATATAGCATCAACATTTTGTGAACCCATGATATTATTAAATTAATTTTCTTTTCTATCTTTGCGCGGTCGAATAAAAAAACTGAATTAAAACAATAATATGCGAAGATTTATTAATTAGAAACTGTTAACGCTACGTAAGTTGTGACGACGTGATATTAATTTAGACACATTTAATATATACAGATTATTAAAACAGAAAACATAAAAAATCTTATTAGAAATCAGCAAAAGCTTCACAATTTTGACGCTAGATGTCGCCATGCGAAATCAAATGACATTTAAATGTGTCATATTTCATTAGAGTTTAGCATCGAAATATACTAGTGGACATGCCGTACGAGTATAATCTGTAGTAATTTTTTGGTTTGAAAAGAGTGAGAGAGATGGCCTATGCATTCGGCCTAGCACTATCTCTTTCCTCATTGGCGCTTGGCTCATAACGTCTTAAGTACGGTACTATTTTGAGAGAGATAAAGATAGACCAAAACTTCGTTTCCTCTCTTTCTTTCGGTGTGCCACAATTATCATCTCTAAGGAATGTCCATTAGTATAAGTCGATGGAGTTTAGACTCACAGATTAGATATAATAATAATATATATATATATATATATATATATATATATATATATATATATATATCGGATTTAATACAAATTCGCTGCTTTTAACGAGAGACGTCACTGTTACGTAACTAGTCACTTATGTTAAGTACTCTGCATGATAATTCAAAATGAAACATCAATTCTACTGAGTATCCTTGTTTTATCTAAGGTTCTTCATAATCACATTCTTCAATGGTCCGTACTCACTGTTTTCAACAGTCGTGAGTCCAAACGTCGTTTTTGTACCAAAATCAATAGTCCTATTCCTTTTAAGTATTTTTTTATTTCGTTTATTTATAACGATAATTATGAATACCAAAAAGTTTGTACAAAAAAATATGTCAGTCTCAATTTTTATGTTTCATCCGTTATTACTATTTATAGACATATTCAATACATTTAATAAGTATTATAATTTATAATATTTTCTTATATTATTATTTTAACATGACTAAACAGTTTTTGTTACCTGCCATTATGAATGATTGATAATGCGCTGCCGCTGATGCTCGCGATGTCTAATTTTTCTTTCGTCTTCATTTTCCTACAAAAAAAAAATAATTTATTGTCAAAAAAATTAAAAATATGCAATCATTTAGAGTCTCGAACAAATAAAAAACATTTTATTCTAGGTTTCCATTAAAAATATATTCCTTTGTTCAATCTAGATGTAATATTTTTATACAATAAGTTAATATTCCCTTTCCCTTTTACCTAGTGTCATAGTACGCCAGCCCTTGAAGCTTATTTGCTTTTAAATTCTATTAATTAATGCGAGAATGTAAACGTTTTTTATGTTCTACAAACCGATATAATTATATCTACAAAAGTTTATTACATTTAGTTGTATTTGTTACGAGAAATATATTAAAAGATATAAGTATATAACTAAAATTTAAGATAAAAAACCAGTTTGGTTTAATAGGTAGAGCAAAGCTAAATAAAGGTCTCGTGAGGTGTGAGGTTTTCCTCTTAAAATTAAACTTATTGCGCAGTTTTATTTAAAAATATATAATTGTAAGTATTTATACTGTTTAACGAAAACAAATACGTTAATCTAAGTACTAGTTGAAACGCCAAAGTAAGGTTTACGCTTACTACGAGTTGCCGAATCGTATAACTATAACCTTTTAAGTATATCAACCTGCCATATATAGATAATACATTAAAAAATGTGTCGAAACGATTTCACCTTGAAACTTTTGGTATTCGGGTCGACGCTTGCTTTCAAACACAACTTGTCAGTCAAAAAAACAACTATTATTTTTAATCCAAACAAAAAAAAGGAAGATATTTGATAGATATAAATTTTAAATATGTATATTTGTTAAATATTATATGTTTTTCTTTAATAAAGTAGAAGTTTATTGGTATCTTTTGAGATTTTTTTTTTGGTTAGATTAGTCATATCATGATATTTGACAGTTGCGATAAATGTTGATTGACAAGAAACAATTATAATGACAGATATATATATTTATTTAAACTCAATCGGTACTTTCGTCTATTTATATTTCAATTATCAAATATATATATTAAGAAAAAAATAAAGTTATTTCAATAACCAAAAATATTTACCTTTATAATACGAATGAACAAATATAGCAACGAACTAAATTATTATGCCAAATATTATAACGTATTAAGTTATTACATTAAAAACACACACTTGTTATTCTATTCGCATTTAGTTTTAAAAAAACGAGGTTGTATATTTTTACCTTATATGAAGGTTTTACATATCGGTAAAACCTAAATTGGTAACTGAATTTAGATTTCGACCCGCATAAACGATGTTTTTATGATGTAGATCGTTACAATATAATAGTTTTAAAGCAGGATTGAAATAAAATAATAGATTATTAACTATTATTGGTTGAAATAACATAATGAGTGAAAACTGGGAGCTGGATTCAGAAATTTCTAGACCTCTGAAGATAAAAAAAATATAACTGTCATATTTCCGAACCAATTTTTTTTCATTTAGCAGTTTCTTATTTACATGATATAACCTGCTTGTTAATATGATATAAAAAAAATATTTCGAAAGCTAAACAAATTTCATAAATATATAATTTCTAAATCATATTAATTTAATATCCTTCTAAAACATCGGCCATTTTAAAACCGGAAAGCCGTCCATATTTTAACATATTCATAAATATTATATTATTAAACAAGCAGGACGATATTTATTCAATTCTAAAAATCTTTCCAGCATTAGTTTATTTAATGGGCGATAAATAAAACATATTTAGCGCAAACAGAAATATAAATTACAATCATTAATGGTTCGTGTTTTAATATTAGTATATTTTCATTTAGCATAAATAATATGTATATATAGAAATAATTTGAAAACTACTTTCGTTATATGCAATATATGTAACGTATATATACATACATATATTATATATTGCATTCCCAAAGAGAGTTGATGTCAGGCAGGCGGCCAGTCGTAAAACAATTAGCCAAAACTATTCACAACATGTAAGGCAGACACTGGCTAAAGATGAGAAATTGCCAGGTAGACGAAAAAGATTATGTGTGTGTATACATATTACATATGTGTGTGTGTGTCTGTGTCTGTGTGTGTGTGTGTGTGTGTGTGTGTGTGTGTGTGTGTGTGTTTATATATATTTTTATATATATATGTACATTTAATCCACATTATCTCACACTGTTCCTCTCATTATCCAACCACACAGCTCTGTTCAAGTAAGTGGGCATTTCCTTAATTTAACATCACTGTTCAAGAACAACTTCATGCTATGCGAATTTCGTATTCTTCAAATGACTCAGCTTCTGACAAAGAGGACGCAGACTTACTAATAGCGTTTTTCCTGTCACTTTTTAAATTAAAATATATTGATATATATTACAATTTAAATAATTCATTACCTATTACGGTTTTGCGTAAAATTACTCGTGTTTCAAGATACTTTACAAGTTACAATGATTCAAATTTTATGTGAAATTTTAATAAACCAAAACGATGCCCTTATCATGATTAATATAATCAGATTTGAATTCCAACTAAGGTATGCAACGTGAAATAAATTGAAATAGCTCAGTAAGTACATGCCGTGACATTGAAAACGCGGATTTCAATCAAAATAAACGTTTTAATATCTAGAGAACTTGTTTTCTAACAATAATAGCAATTCAAATGAATTTATGATCTTTAAATGCTACGCGTTTTTTTATTATTCTATAACTACATAGTATTTCCATCTATCTTTAAAACCTTCTTCTCATCTGCCCGTCATCATGGCTGTAAAGCAACCGAAACGTCGAAATAATGTAGTTTTATCCGAAAATACTAAATAATTCAAATACACAACTTATTAACAAATACAATTGACACATATAAAAGCAGTATTACCAGTTATTTTTGCATACACATTACTTTATTTGATTACCTATATACATAACTTAAAATACATAAGCATATACTTACTTATTTACTTACCAAAACAAGTTAAATTTAATCCTATATATACACTTTTAAACCTCTAATGTTATTCACCCGGATTTTAAATAAGGGATTTTAAAAACCGGTTTAATCTTAAACTTAATATATTTATTATTTAATCGTAAGATTCGCGTTATACCGATAAACACTAACTACATTAAAAATCGAAATGTTAATAACATAGAATCGATTTCTTAAAATCAATTAATAGGATATTAGAGTTAATAGTTTATTAGTAAATGACTAATATATTTAATTAACTTTATATATCCATTATAATTCTGTTTAATTTCAATTAAACGGGAATCCTAGGCATATGATTTCAATTACTCTACACAACTCCTCGTCATAATCAAGATGAAACGATAATTGAATTAAGGGGATATCGATTTAAACATCTTGAGACGTTAGATATAACAAGAAATTAATATTTTAAGCCTAAACATAAACAAAAGAAAGACTAATATATAAAATAATTACAAAATTATGTATATAATTACTATATAATTGCCAAATTACTACATAATTAGGTATATCAAATATATTAATATTCGACATTAAAATACTCAAGCAGCTAAAACCATATAAAAAATATATTTTCCAATGTCGTTTATTGACACCAATAAAAACCTATAATTATTTAAATTTAATAAAATATTGAAATCCATTAAAAAAAACGTGACCGAAAACGTGCTAACATGAACCGGTCAGAATTAAACATGGGACTTACTAAAAAACCTGCTTATACATAAAAAAAGATTCACCAAACATGTGACTGAATGAAATCATTATAATATGAATATAAAGACAATTAAGTTTAATCATTGTAACTGTAACAATTAATAAACAATAGCCATTCATATTTCTTAGATCATTCATAATAAAATCTTTACACAAACAAACAAGTTGTCCACACATTATTCTACATTCCTTTTTAAACATATTTATATATTTTACTAACATTTAAATCAATAAAATAACATTTTTATCTTAGTGTAAAATAATTATTTCGTACTGAACGAATGAAATACTAATGAACGGTCACCATAAGCTTCTAGTCGTATTTCATTCATTCAGTGACAGCCAGCGACTATTCCCACGCTACTTAAACCTGAAAATCGCTTTGAAATTTCAAGTAAACCCAGGTCCAAACATTAGGCTTACATTATTATTTGAAACAATAAGTACTGGTATCTAACGCATGTGATTATCATGACGTTATTTATTATAAGATAAAGAAAACAATTTAGATTTTTATGTTCGACATAATGTAATTAAAATATTAAATATTTGATACAAATGGAAATTTACAAATATAATGAGGATTTCACTGTAAACTAGTCATTGTACTAGCTGTATACAAAGTGAAATTAAATCAAAAAGAAATTCTTTAAATAATTGCAGTCGACGAAAGTCATCAAGAAACTTTATGACATATTATTAATGTCATTTTAAATTTATCAATCAAACTTTGACGTGTCACTTTCAATACATTTTGTTTTTAAATATTAAAATATAATTCAATAAAATAACGTTTTTATGTACAGGAAATTATTTGCAATTATACAATTACAGTAATTACTGCGTTCAGAGATATGAAAAGTAAATATTTCAGTCACGATATACCTAGTTAGTAGTTACGAATGTGTACAGAAGATTACTGACTTAATACTAGTTAAAAAAGTTTCCTTTACTATTCCAAATATTATTCATTTTTAGATAATATTATTATAAGAAAGAAATATTTAGTTTTCTTCTTATTATATTAAAAAATAATAAAGTTATAATGGTTGCTATTGTTCAATGAAAATGAACTGAAGATATGCACAGAATATATATTATAGAATTATTTGTATCACATACGTATGTATCCTTCATTTGTATGCAATGACGAAGAATTCTATACTAATATGTTTTTAATACATTATCTCAGCCTTCGCTCATTTCCCTCTAATAAAATCATAATATAATAAGATTAATTAAATAAATATATATTCTTTCGTAGGCATATGTTTGACAATGTTTTATGTTTACTCTATATCAAAAGACCACAGATTGCGATAGTCACGTATACATTAAATGTACGGAGCTGCAATAAACTTCCTGATTATTTAAATTCATTTAATATAATTATTTAATAAGGTCATCATCTTAAAACAATGGTTTTATATAATTATAAAAGTAGATCAAACAAAAAATAAATATTATCGGCTGTCTAGGTTGAGTCGATTAAAAAATGGTGACGTTTAAAAAAAACACATTAAGTGACATTATCAAAAAAAAAAACGTTTAAAAACTTACTAAAACGTGCAATGGAATTGAGTATACAGACATTAATAATGAAACGATATTATTTTGATAATAAGCAACAAAGAACCAGTTAGCCTTCACAGCTCAATTGAAACGTCTACCTACAGAAAATCAACAACCTTCAGCTTTTATCAACGAATGTTTTTAATTGTAATTCCAAATTTAAATTTCTTATTTAAAAATATATATAAAACCTCTTTTATTAAAAAA